GTTCTGTCAGTATTTTAATCGATACAACTTCGAATTAATTGATTAAAACCACTTGAAATGTTTTCAAAAGTGTTCTGTTAATATTTTAACTGATATAACTTCAAATTAATCAATTAAAATCACTTGAGAAGTTCTGAAAAATATTCTGCCAGAATTTTAATCAATATAACATCGAATTAATTAATTAAAACAACTTAAAGAAATTTTTGTCAAATGTTTCAATCTATTAAATCAGGCTTTCATCAGTTAAAATCACTTATGAAGTTTTGAGAAAATGTTTGACAAAATTATAATCGATTAAAACGCGAATTAATCGATTAAAGCAACTTAGAGAATTTTTGTTTAATTGTTTTAATCGATAAAACATCGTTGTATCAGTTAAAATAAATTTGGAAAATAATTAAGTTCATTTTAACCGATTAAAAGAAAAATTAATCGATTAATCAAGATTTAATAATCGATTAAAAGAAAGTTTTAACCGATTAATTAAACCATCAATTGAAAAATAACTCTATATAAACAGGTTTGTTTCAGCGTTTTAAAATATATATTTGAGTAATCAATCAAGCAATTATTAGAGAAGATTTTAAAGAAAGAAGCGCGCCACTTTTGTGAAGTTTGTCAAAGTTCTTTATTAAGACATTTTTGCATTCTTACTTATGAAGAAACTTATTCTGCAAGAGCTACATAATCCGGGTGTGATTGTTCTAGTTTCTTCTCTTTGTTCTTTTCAATTCTTTACTCTATTGTGGGTTTCTGAAAGTGTTGGGCACTGATTTTGTAGCTGGAATTTGGCTACAAGTTGGTTCAAGAATAGGAACTTGGTTCTTGGTGAAGGTTTGATGCAAGAACTGGAATTTGGTTCTTGGTGTGGATTGAGTGTTTTGTGATTCGGGTTTGTAATCAGAAACATAATCAATCTAGTGAAACTCAACTGAAATTTTGTTGACTAGATGTAGCCCTGTGGTTTGGGTGAACTAGTATAAATCTTGTGTGTCTTTCTCTAAATTTTTACTCTCTTTTATTCTGCTTGTATTTTACATAGAACTGCTTATTTTTCTTGGTTCAAAACTTGATCAGAATTCATAATCTTTGAAATAGATAATTTGTATATTAAAAGTGCGAAAATTTTTCAAAGATCAATTCACCTCCCTCTTGATCTCAACCTACAAATCTAACACTATATATTCAGAATATATAGCTGCAACTTCATGTGCATGTCAATGCATTTGGATCATAAGAATTTTGGAGACCATTGGTTTTAAAGAACAAAAACATATTCTAATTCTGTGTGACAATAATTCAACTATTAAGTTATCTAAAAATCCAATATTTCACGACAAAAACTTCATTATCTTGTTAGAGAAGAAAAAATCAAGTTAAGTCACTGCAACATCCAAAATCAAATAATTTACATAATGACTAAGTCACTCAAGCTAAAACAATTTGTGAAGATGAGGAGTATGTTGGACATGATTGAAACATCAAAAGTAAACTACAGCTTTTAAGCTTTTAGTTTAAGGAAAATATTGTTAGTGAATTTATGTTTTATTTTCATATTTATATATGTTTATGATTTATTTAATTTTGTCTTTAAAAAAAATAAAAATTAAACTATCTTACGCTAACCGATTATTTATGAATTGAAGGAGTTAAATATTAGTTATATGTTTTATTAGAAAAACAATCCATGAGTTGTGATAGAGTGGGAAAACAATTTTCTTTTTTTATACAAAACTATTTAATAATAATGCAATCCTCTAAAATGAATAGTAAAAGATTGAAGACGGTAATTTAAAAAAGTATTCTGATCTATTTTGTCCACACCTTCATCCCTCATTAATTACATCGTACATCTACTTTCGGATAAACATCATGAATAGAATGTAATTTTAGGATATTTTTTTTCTTCTTCTTTTTAAGGATTAATTTGTTTAGCGTTTCACACCTGCAAGAACATGTACAAAGTGGTATTTTATTTCTAAATATCATAATTAAGTAGGACTATATTTAAATAAATAATAATAATAATAATAATAATAATAATAATAATAATTATTATTATTATTATTATTATATTTCGTGTTCCATCTAAAAGAATGTCATTAAAAATAAATACAAAATAAAAGACATTTTCAAATCATACTGGTTAGCTACTAAACATTTACATACATTCAATCATGAATATTATTAATAGAGGGTACTCATTCATTTGATCAAAAGTTATTAAATAATATTTAATCTATATTCGTAATCTTATTTATTTAATTTAAATAAACAATCGTATCATGTCAAATCTAGATTAACCTAAGTTGATAATAATGTGTCACTTGATCGTTTAGTAAGATACATAATTTTAAATAATCATGAATTACACCTTAAACATATTTAAATGCCAAAAGTTTATGAGGTATCGTTAAAAAAAATATTGGTAAATTTATTTTGGATTTTTTTTTACGAACGAACATAATTTATATTTATAAGGGAATATGATTTCATTTTCAATAATGACAATATTTTATTTGCTTGTAGTGCAACAATATTTTATTTATCTCCTCTCCCCATACTGCAAATTCTTATATAATAAGGGCATAAATGTTAGAAAGAGAAAGACAAATGTTATATTCCAAATATATTAATTATCAATCATGTTCTCTAAAAAATTATCAGTTACATTAAAAAAAAAAAACGATATTTATTATTTTATTTAAATACATATATGAAGCATATATTTTTATGAGATGATCCAATGTCAAACTTTCCGAAGTCTACCTTAATTTTCCTAAATACTAACAATGTGATGGTTATATTTTTAGAAATATTATAATTTAAAACATTATTTCTACATACATGTTTAGTTTTAATAAATTGAGAAAATAAATAAATTGATTTATTAGAAAAACCGAAATAAAAAGGAAAAATATAAAGAATGTGATGAATGCAGATATTTATTGAAGAACAAAATTATTATTGGAATACATGAGAATTTCATTAAATATATTATTGAATTAATATATGATAATATAACTATTATGGTATAATATATCAGAGAATACATTTTCGTAACTTTCAAACAAACATGAGGATATTTATTTTTATCTTATGCTTTTGAAAACACAATAAAAGAAAATAACATAAAAATATCCTTTTTTTTATATACATACTTTATATTTCTTAATTATTTATGTCTTTCAATTTACCATTCGTTATTTCCATTTATAAGTTGAATTTTAACAGTCTATTTAAAATTGACAATAATTACGAATAACTTCATAATAAAATTTAAATGAAAGATATTTATTATAATCTTAATTATATATAATATATATTAAATAATTTATTTATTATAAATTTAATTACATAGAAAAAAATATTTATGTGGCCTAAGACACAGACTGAAATACCAATTAATAAAGTATTAACATATGTGGATGAAACAGTTGATTTAATATTAAAAAACGGCTTAAAATTAAATCATTAAATCAATTATTTATCATTGAATTTCTCCATTTATTTACGAAATTCATACTATGAAAAACTTGTTGAAATTAGATGAATAAAATATGCATATATTCGTGGACTTTGTGACTGAACCAGCTGATTTAAATAATTGTTTAGAATGCATTCTTCAACAAAAACTGTTATATATCATACTTCATTATCAGACACAGTTGACTATTTAAAATAAAATAAAAATAAAAATGAAGCCACCACATTGGACAAATTATCCATTTTTCATTGAAAAATTGACACAATAATATATATTCATATAATTTGCATGAGGAGATAAGATAAGATGGACTAATCTGTAATCAGTTTGAAGAATTCACACTCCACTTTATAATTTCTATCTTAATCCATTTTTTTTTTTCTATGTATAGTTTTGTGGTAGTGATTTAAATTTAATTAATTCATTAATGTAATAGGAAAATAGTAGCATATTTTCTCACCATTAAATGCAAATTGTGTCTTTTATGAGTTAGTGCACATTAATTGTATTTACGAAATTTAAGGATGGGTTGGTTGTTGTTACTATCCATCTGTTTCCAACGCAGTTATGCTGTCACTTGACGTTATCTAGTTATCCATTTGAGACACAACCATGCAAACAAAAAAAAAAAATCATCAAAAAGGGTAACTAAGCAAGGAATATTAAATAATTAAAAAAATTTCTTTAATTGAGATTTATAAAAATGTATTTTTTTATATATTTTTTATTTACTTTTATGTTTTTAAATGTTTTTTCTTTAATTTCTTAACATTAATCAAGCAATTGATTTTTTAATTAAGATGTGAAAAAGGTACATTTTTTTAACGGTTTAATTAGCCTTTTTATTTTTATTTTTAAACCAATGTATGCAGGATATTAATCAATGTTTTACAAATATTTAGAGAAAAAATTTGACAACATATCAAGTATTTTTTAATTAGATAAGAATATGATTTTTTTATTTCCTAAATATAAAAAATTTAGTTTTTACAATTAAGAAAATATAATTTTAATATATAAATATTAATTTTGAAAAATTAAAATATTTTTTAAATTTAGTATTCTTTTAGAAATTTAAATTATATTTTATTAAGTTCGAAATGAATTGTTTTTAATTAGAGAACTAAAAACATTAATTTATGTAAATTAATATTAAATATGTATTATTTTTTAAAATAATTTTATTGATCATGCTCTCTCAATAAAATACATTTTTATTAATTTAAAAATAAATAAAATAAATAAAATATAAAAAATATTTTATTAAAACTGAAATCACCAATCAATTTCTGTATTCTAAAACCACTGGGATGGCAAGAATCATTAGTACATGTTCCATTTTTGTATTTTAATTATAAATTGAATTTTAAAAAAATAATTAAAAGGAGATACGTTTGATGACCGTTGACTCTGACATATTTATATGAGTTGTATGAAGTGTAACTCTTACTGTCTTTGTGTTCGGTCCTCCTTCATTTCCAAACTCTGACACACACACACAGACAGAGCAATGGCAGGTGGTGGAGTGGAAAGTGGAGCACCTGGGAGAAGGGCTCATCTTTACGAACACAGATTCACTTATTATTTCGCTTTTACATGTATTGTTGGAGCTCTGGGTGGTTCTCTTTTCGGTTATGATCTTGGTGTTTCAGGTTTCTACATCAATTCATAGTTCTCTCATTACTTTCACATGCTCTATTCTGCACAATTTGTTCCTTTTATCTGTTTTATCGTTATTGTCTTTAAGATCCACTGTGCCTCCTAGTCATGTTGGAAAAAAATAACATAAATTTAATTTGTTATACTCTGAAATTTAAACTGGGAAGAGTTTAATAGAACGATTCTGAGAGGAAAAAATGTTTAATTTTGGGTTGATTTACTGTGAAAACATCCATAATGCATTTCTGAGTGAAATGACTCTGACTCAATAGCTTTGGGAGGAACCCAACTGGAATTTTTTATTAGATCGAATTCATGATATGAAATTAATTCTTCAGATAATGAAACAAACACTGCTTTAATTCATATTTTTTACACTGTACTTTATTAGAATTTAATATATCAAAAATAAGAAAATTCAGAAAAGTGTTTGCTTAAACTGAACTAAACTTCTTTTTTTTTCTTTAACAGAACTATTATAAAAATGGTTTGGTGGACTGTTATAAAACTGAATTATCAATTTCCATCTTTTCAATGTTTGATTAAACCAGTTATCTACTTTGTTGTGTTTGAGGGGAACTTGTTGTATTGGTTGATAATGTGGTTAATTTAAAAAATTCAATGTATTTTAATTGTACCTGTTCGACGCTCTGAAGTTGCACATGTCTGAAAGCTTACACTGAACTATGGTTTGCCCGTTAAGAAATTTCCTGCAGCTTCTGTTCAGATTTATATCTATCTCACTCAATGAAGATAAATTCTTGAGAATAATCTTTAAAACTTAAGAATTGACTATTTTTTTATTTTCTTAATTTGAAGGATTAAATCATATAATTTTGAGAACAATTTTGAAAATTCAGTGAAACAGGAGTCAACGCAACAATACAAATAAAAATCAGATTGCAGAAAAAAAAAAACTAACAACTACGAACAAGATGCAACATCTGTTGAATCTTTTAAAGTTTAGAAAGAAAAAAGTTCCTGACTCAATTACACTTATGTTCAAAGCACCAAATGAGTTCAGTTTGGTTTTGGTTAGAACTTCGAAATATAAATATCAAACGTTTGTGGATTACTGCAGAAAATGTGATTTTAAAATTGCTTTGCGTCCATAAAAAAATTGAGAATTTTAATGTAATTTTCAATTGGAGTGGCTTTATAATTTACTTGTGATGTTGTTATGTGTTAGGTGGGGTGACTTCAATGGATGATTTCTTGAAGGAATTCTTCCCGGACGTGTATAGAAGGAAGCAGCAGCATCTGCATGAGACGGACTACTGTAAATATGACAACCAAGTGCTGACACTGTTTACATCTTCTCTTTATATCTCAGCACTGGTCATGACATTCTTTGCTTCCTCCTTAACAAGGAAGAAGGGAAGAAAGGCCAGTATCATAGCGGGAGCCCTTAGCTTTCTGGCTGGAGCAATCCTCAATGCAGCAGCTAAGAATATTGCAATGCTAATCATTGGCAGAGTCCTTCTTGGTGGAGGCATTGGCTTTGGTAACCAAGTAAGCGAAATGCTCCAAAACAAAACCAATCAATCCTCAAATTACAAGAGTCATTTTAGTCCCCAAATTTATAAATTTTACTTTAGTCATTCATTTTGTTAAAAGACATTCATTTAGTCCTTTTCCTCTTGTTTTTCAGTGTAGCTTTAAACACACAACATAGAGACTTGTGTGAACGACTTTTTACAAGATGACTATGGGCTGTAATTGAGAACTTAATTCACATGTAACATGTTTTGTTCCACATACCAGAAGTGATTTTTCATGTTTACTAAGAAGTTAATAGTTATAGCTCCAACTTTGTTTTCATGAAATTGATGTCATTTCTTGTTTCTGATTGGATTTCCAATCGTGCATATTATAGTTATAGAGAAATATTATTCTTACTGGTGTATTTTATTGTGTAGGCTGTTCCATTGTACCTTTCGGAAATGGCTCCAGCCAGGAACCGAGGAGCAGTGAACCAATTGTTTCAGTTCACAACTTGTGCTGGAATCTTAATTGCTAACTTGGTGAATTACTTTACCGACAAAATCCATCCCCATGGATGGAGAATATCACTGGGTTTGGCAGGTGTTCCAGCAGTTCTTATGCTTATAGGAGGTCTTTTGTGTGCTGAGACACCTAACAGTCTTGTGGAGCAAGGAAGGTTGGATGAAGCAAGAAAAGTATTGGAAAGAGTTAGAGGTACCAAGAATGTTGATGCTGAATTTGAAGATCTTAAAGAAGCCAGTGAAGAAGCACAAGCTGTGAAGAGCCCATTTGGGACACTCCTCAAGAGGAAGTACAGGCCACAGCTGATCATAGGTGCCTTGGGGATTCCAGCATTCCAGCAGCTAACTGGCAATAACTCAATCCTCTTCTATGCTCCTGTCATTTTTCAGAGTTTGGGGTTTGGTGCTAATGCTGCTCTCTTTTCATCGTTTATTACCAATGGGGCTCTTCTTGTTGCCACCGTGATCTCAATGTTTTTGGTTGACAAGTTTGGTAGAAGAAAATTCTTTCTGGAAGCTGGCTTTGAAATGATAAGCTGCATGGTAACTACTTGTTCATGCTGTTACTGTCCTTTAGTTTTATCCATCAAATGCACTGCTATTAATGGAATTGCTTATTGGACCTTTTGATTGCTTTGCAGATTATCACAGCAGTGGTTTTGGCTGTGGAGTTTGGACATGGCAAAGAACTTGGGAAAGGAATCAGTGCATTTCTGGTTGTTGTGATCTTCTTGTTCGTATTGGCATATGGTAGATCATGGGGTCCCCTTGGTTGGTTGGTTCCCAGTGAGCTATTCCCATTAGAGATAAGGTCAGCTGCACAGAGTATTGTGGTGTGTGTGAACATGATCTTCACTGCACTTGTTGCTCAGTTGTTCCTCATGTCACTTTGCCACCTCAAATATGGAATCTTCTTGCTCTTTGCTGGCTTAATAATCTTCATGAGTTGCTTCGTTTTCTTCCTTTTGCCGGAAACAAAGAAAGTCCCAATTGAGGAGATTTATCTTCTTTTTGAAAACCATTGGTTCTGGAAGAACATCGTAAGGTCGGACCAAGACAGAAAGACATCAAATGGGAAACCAGTAGCTGCAGTGTAAAATTGTCAACAACATAGATTGAACAAAGTCTAAGTTTCTTTTCTTTTTCTTTTATCTAATTGTTTCTTGCATTATAGAAAAAAAACTTTATTATGATATTGCTTTTAAATATGAATTGTTTCTTTTATATTTATTGAATCTCTTTTCCTCCTACATTATACTATGAAGAAGACCATTACGATAATTCTCAGTTATCATTGTTTAAAATAAAATGAAATAATCTCACATTTCAGCAAGAAATGGTGTGACTGCGAAACCCAGTTACAACAGCTTCACCCACGTCACGAAGATACAAACTGCCCAAAATCACCTATTTTTACGCAATTTCTGTCATAAAAATTCCTTTTTGTTTCAGAGCATGTAAATGGATACCTTACAAAACACTCCTTATTTTTCGCCTTTCTTTTTTCATCCTTTAATTTCACTTCGTCACCGGACATGCTACTAAACAGGCAACAAGAAAACCAATGGCATTGCCAAGGATGTCTATTTCTAGAATTTGAGGAATGTCTATGACAATGTAAGTAGTTTAGTTAATTTATTTCTGATTTTCAAATTAATTGTCCTTACAAAATGCCTTAATGATTGAAAAAAGAGAATGATATAAACTAATCTTTACTTCGAATACTAATGAATGTGAAACTTATGAATCTATGAAACAGAAATAAAAATAAACTCTTAAATTATGTAAAACTCACTTGAAACAGAAACAAAAAAAAATGCAAATACAAAATGTTAATATCGTCTCATATTGATATAAATATTATATAAGAAAAAAATAGTATTATATAATAAAATTCCAATACATAAATTGAACTATTGTATCACTAACTAAAATCATACCAATGTATGTAGATCTTATAATTTTTTTTTTTACATTATATAAATCCACAAACCAATTTTTATTACTATTTATCTTAATTTTAAATTAATAATATGTCCATTTCAAAGTCGCAGATAAGTTTATCTTAATTAATTTTCATTTATTTCGTAACTATGTATATCACATATTCCATATAAGTTGTTATTATTATATCTCTGATGGTATCTGTTACCATGTTTCTGATTTAAAGGATTACATTTTAATTTAAATAATAAATTAAATTGAATTAAAGAGGTATATTTAATGAAGGGTAGGTGCAGTTTTGGGTTTTGAAAACAGAGTGAGAGAGCAATGGCAGGCAGAATAGTGGAAGATGGAGGGCGTGGAAGGGCTCATCTTTATCACTACAAATTCACTCATTATATCTTTCAGACTTCAAATGATTTTTATACATAGGTAGAAAACAGATGGAAGAAAATTTATGATACTTGTTTTTTGTTGAAGGAGAAATGTGAGGTTATTGATTTTCTGCATTTTTTATATGTCCTATGTTTAACCATTATGGTGGCTTCGCTATAAATATTTTTGAAGCTAATTAGAAGTTGTACGATGGCAGACGAAAGAGTTTTTTTTATTCTGTCCATCTACTTTAAAAAATAAAAATTGATTTCGATCAAAGTTATCTATTTATTTTTATAATTGATTAATTATTTATTACTATTTTTCAAAATGGAGTAGTGGTCTTATCTACTTAATAAATGTTTCTTACACTTATTTTTATACATCTCTCCGTGGACATGGCACAAAGAACAAAGGAAAGGAGTCAGTGTTGTTCTTGTTGTTGTGATTTTGTTGTTCGTATTGGCGGCATATGGGAGATCTTGGGGTCTCCTTGGGTGGTTCCTAGTTAGCTATTCCCCTTAGAGATAAGGTCATCTGCAGAGAGTATTGTGGTGTATGTCAAAACAAAATGGTCTTCACTGCACTTGTTGCTTAGTTATATGGTCTTCACTTGGCCACCTCAAATATGGAATCCTTTCGCTCTTTGCTTGCTTAATCATCTTCATGAGTTGCTTCGTCTTCTTCCTTTTGCCCGAAACGAAGAAAGTCCCAATAGAGGAAATTTATCTTCTTTTTGAAAACCATTGGTTTCTGGAAGAATGTTGTAACTGACCAATACCAAGAGGTATCAGACGGGAAGCCAGTGGCTACTGTTTAAAACTTTCAACATATTAATAGATAGATAGAACAGCTCTAGGTTTTTATTTGCTTTAAATATGGTTTGTTGCTTTTATGTTTATCGAATATCCTTTTCTCATCTATGATCACTTCCTCTTCTAAAGATTGAAGTAATTAAAAGATATAAAATGAAACAATATTTTAGTTATCATTGTTTGAAGTGTACATAATAATTGGATAAACAAAGTGTATGAAACAAGATGGATAAAGGCAACTTAACGATGAAAAATTCATCTCTTTGCAACTAAAAGTTATTTTGTTTCCTATCAAATTCGAGAGATTGCGGGTGCCCTATCTTATTATTCAATGATTTCTTTAATTAGACATCTAGCCACAGCCAAGGTCATGAGGGAGGCTGATAATAGAATAATGACAGCGAGTAAATAATGTTGAGATAAGGTTGGAATTTACTATGCAAAGTAACAAAAGCAAAGGGCGAAGAACGCAATTATATTGTCAACAAATGCACTACGTATGTTAGATGAAAAAAGAAATGCACTGCAATGGCATCAGAACTTTTGATAACACCATATAATATCATGATAAAAGTTTAGCAAGTTCATCAACTCCTAATGTTCCTTGTGGTACAACATTCAGTAATTGGTCATCAAAATTTGCTTCTCTAGGAATTTTAGTACTCTTCGCTTTTTTCCGTTCCATGGAAACAGTGATAGTTTCTTTATTAATCTCTACAGTCGAACCTTCTTTCTTGTAACTCTTTTGAGCCACAGCTTTTCTGTGTTTCCCAAAAACTGGTCCAGGTGAAGCTGATTTGGCAAAGGCAACTGTTTTTTGATAAATATTGTCCGCATCCAAAGAATCTTTATCTAAAACAAGAGCACTACCTTTCTCAACAGCTTGTTCGAACAGTAACAAAATTTCTTTCATACAAGGAGCAGCTGACCTTGGTGACTGACTGACATCTGCTTCTCCTAAAGCATCTAGCAGCTTATCAGAATGAGGATCTACCATGCCATCGATATAATTGTCACCACCTCCAACAGTTGCATCAGATCCTGATATTGAAGCAGAAAGAGCATCACAGCAGGTTTTGCTCTCCATTATATCCTCGGTTAAATGGTTTTCACTCATAGCTCTCATCGAGCATTCAGAACTGCTATTATAGTGTGATAAGATCATACTTGGACTGGGACTCGTGCTAGGGTCTGGCTCAGCACAGGAGTCTGTGGCAATATTTGAGGTTTCAACTTCATAGGTTTTTGTAAGTGAAGCAACTTCAGTTACCCCAGAAATAGATTGGGGGCTATTTTCATTGGGATATGGCACCTCAACCTTATCCAAAGTCACATCACTTGAACTAGGGGAAATGCTAGTGTCATGTGATAAATTTCTTGCAAGCTCCACTGGGTTATTCTGTAGACCTGGCGCTGAGAAATCTACGGCCTCTGATGGCCGTGGTTCAACATTCTTATCGTCTACAATTTTATTGCCCTCCTTGAGGTCATCCCCAAGATCTGGTATAGAGGACTTCCAATTTGGTCCTCTCCACATAAGTATGTGCTCATATTGAAAGGAAAGTAATGTGCATGGTACAAGATCCTACAGTCAAAAGAATAGATGTTGAAGAAAGAGTTTAATATAGTATCCTCATTAATTAATGTGAAAAAAAAAAAATCCAAAACAACAGGGAAAAAGTCTGAGTCCATATTATCTTCTACTGGATGCAAAATTGGTTATACCCTTAGTTTTGCTCCAATCTTTCGATAGTCACTCTTATTTAGTCCTTGGCAGTTTATACGCACTAGTTCACACTCTTCAAATGCCTCCCTGACAGTGTTTACTAGGGTAATGTAAACACCATTTTTTCCTGTATCATGATAAAAATAGCCAATGCATTAAAAAAGTATGCGTTTCAGGGGAAGAAAAGGCAGCCAGTGCCAGTTTGCCATAGGAACACTATCTTTTTTTAATTGCTAAACTGCACTGAAGATCCTTAAAATGTTACCTAGCTTGCATATGGGAATCAATGTGCGTCCCTTTTGACGCATTTCAGTAACTTCTTCCAGAGTTAGACCTTCAGGAACTCGCGGAATCAACCTAGGATATACTGGAGTCATAGGTTTCCACAACATCAGTGGAAAATATGGGCGGGTTCTATAGTTGTAGTTTCTTCCTCGAAACAGGTACACCTTACCGCCCTGTCTGAAAATGACTTTCCCCCCTGTCTTTTCCTGCCAAATCAGATAGCACAGGGCAAGTGAAACTTAAATGATGCAGGGGTTATGTTATTTGCACATTTCCATTTCCTGACCAAACTTGCATTTCTCCAATCATTACTTATATTCCTTCCCCTCATCAACCCAAAGGTAGTTTTTGAGGGTTGCACGATATGCAAGAAGATGAAACTATGCGTAAACATTACCCAACAACAAAACATGATTGACTTCTTTCTTTTCATGAAGAATGTCAATGGACACAGCCAATACACAAAAGTAGGTTAAGGTAAATCAAAGAAAAAAAATTGCCAACGCGCATAAAAGTGTTCCAAACTACATATAAGAAAGAGGGTTTCTATAGCATGGCACTAACCTAATTATAGTACACTTCAACACTTGATTGTTTAAAAAGACAGAATAAAAGACTATAACGAAGAAATAACCACTTTGGATTTGGAACACCCAGAAAAATTATAACTTCCAAGACTTATCAGACCATTTCTTGTAGTTAAATTTCTATGTAGTATCAATCTAAATATTTTTAAATTGGCAACCGATCAATATATCATGTTAGGATTCACTATCATATTTTTGGACAAGAGGTGCAAGTGAATCCAAGTTGATAAGGCCAAAAATAATGAAACAATAAATAAAGAGGACTTCCATAGAAGTATATCATTGTATTGATTGATAAAAAAGAAAGATGCTATAAGTGTGTATACATGTACAATTTATAGAGCTCATTTGAGAAGAAATTAAGAACTAACAAACATTTCTAACAATGTACGTAATACAACTGACATAACTTACTAATACTACATCATAAAGATGAACACTTTTACTGTAGTTAATATAAAATTCAGAAATGTGACTTATCATAAATTTCAATATGTGATTGGATCTGAGAATGTAAATATCTTTAAGCATTTAAATTAATCTTGTTTCTGTTCTTATAAAAGAGATAAGAATTCAACCTCTAACTGATGGCAAACATTATCCATATCCACAGTGCACACTCCCAAACACCTGATCTTGCACACCCTCCGCCGCTTCCAATGAGCATGTATATTATCCAACATATTATGCGTCAAACCATCTCTACCTAACATAAAACACAAATAAAGACAGTGAACTTTCCGCAACAAACACATCATCAGCGAGCAGAAAATAGTAGCAAGTAGCAACGAACGAACCCATATTGAGTTGGCGTTGGGTTTTCATGCAGGATTTAACCAATTCACGAATCTCCTCCTTCGTCAATGGTTCCCCTAAAATCTCCTCTCTCGTCTTCACGTACCGAGGTCCTGTCCCCGGCAAAAACGGCCCCGGTGACTGCACCGGCTTAACCCCCTTCTTGTGAGGCGGCGGAAGCTCGAAAGAGTCGAACTCCTTCAGCTTCTTCTTGCTCGGCGGCAGAGGCGCGCGCCCAGTCCACGGCCGCGGCATGGTGTTCGGACCGAACGGCAGGAAAGGCGCTTCGCGCATTTTGATTGGCTTGGTTTTGGGGGTTTCCGTGTAGCTGTACTTGAACTCAAACGGAGCACCCTCGATTACGTAGGAGAGTCCGTCGTCGCTCATTTTTACATTTTCGGGAGCGGAGGTTATCCGTCGCGGTTTGGATTTGGGGATGTTGGAGAACCTGAACGCCGGGTGGGACTGCTGGTCCACGTTGGGCCTTGGTGGGCTTTTGGGCCTTTTGGGCGGGCCGGAGGGCCGGGATGTTTGGTGGGCATTGGGGGACCTGTCGGAGCGGGTTTGCGGGTTGTTCCAGCGAGTCAGACGGAGGTCCGAGGATGGGCGCGGGTTGGGGTTGGGGTCGAGGGTTGGGGCGAAGATGGGAAAAGTGTTAGCGTGTGCGAGCTTCAGGGCCATCACGAAGAAGAAGATAAAGTGCTTTGCATTCTTCCACTTCGTTTCAGGTCTGTGTGTTTCATGTGTGGTGTGTGGTGTGTGTGACAATGCGGAACAAATTTGGACCCTGTTTACATTTTTTAAATTAAAATAATTTTTAAATTGTTGAAGAATATTATTTTTCACTAAATATTTTTACTTTTAATCTTATTATTATTATTCTTTTTTTAATTTTATTTAAAATAAAATAATGTTATATTTTTTTAATAACATTAACTTTTTTATATATTATTAATAACAAATATATTAAAACTATAGATTATCATTTTGGTATTATTTAAAAAATATTAACAATATATATATATATATATATATATATATTTTTTTAAATTGCATTAGTGAATTTAAATGCTATATATATATATATATATATATATATATATATATATATATATAATTTTTCAATTCTTTGTTTTTTCGAAAGATACCGACAAAATTAACCCTTTTTAACTTTTTCTTTGAAAAAAGTAAAACGATAACTTTAATAAATAAAATAAGAAAAGGAAGAAAGAAGTTGATATTAATAAATTGAAAGAAGTATTTTAAAGGTGTAATTTTTAAAAGATAATTTACAAACAAAGTTTAACAAATTTTGGAGCTTCTTATTTTTACCATTTTTTATAATTTTCATGAAACTATATAATTCATTGAAATTAATTGAAAAAAAAAACTTAAAATTTATCAAATAATTGAATTGGAAATTTATTCTTATTTTTTAATCTTTTTCTAATATTAAAAAGATCGTTCCAAAGTGGGTGTTACAGGAACTCAATATCTTAACTACAATTAACTAGTTTGTGTGCCTTTGATGACATTGTTTCTATTATTAGATACTGGAAAACATTTTAACTCGGAGATCTCTTCTGCTTGATGGCCTCAAGGGCTCCTGTGTTTGGTCATGAGAAAGTAGAAAATAGCAAAAAGGAGAGAGAGAGAAAGAAAGCTTGAAGTTTGTCTTTTCAGTTTAAGTCTTCACTGTACTAAGGTTTGTACTGCACTTCTGTATGTTGTCTCGTTCCTCTGAGTGAAGGGACGAAGCGAATGTCAATTTTTAACTCTTTGCTTTTTTCATGTTCCAGAAGTTCTATGCATCTCAAGAAATAGTGAAAATTTAGACCCCAGTCGTAATTACTTGATCTGACTCAACATTTTTCTGGATTGTCAGCAATCTCTCTAACTATAAAATATTTCATTTTTCTTGAGAGGATCCTTTCATGCGTTCTTCAAGTCTTCTTCGGTGATATGTGAACTCGTATGCAGCAGAGTGTTTGGGGAGATTGAAGCTAATTGTCCAAGAATGGAGTGATTTGGTGTGATCTCAGTTCTTAGCTGGATTACCTGTTTCATTATTTCTGTTAGTTATGTCATATGGGGAACCGGAGATTGCTTTTTCTATTGGGGCTACTTGCTGTTAATTATTTACTGTTTCAGTCAATATTGGTTTCATATGGAAGTGGAAATGCACCATGGTCTTCAGTGCCTCAAAAGTGTGATAAAGTTATATTTCCATCATTGCATTCAGCACCAAAGTATTTCACTGTTTGGAACCCCCCAAGAGGTTCTGTTACAGGGTTTTCTAATTTTTCTGCTTTCGCTGCTACGGTGGAAAAAGTGCCTAATCCTATTGTTCAATTTGAAGTAGGGGAAGGTAAGAAAAAGGGAATGTATCATGATGAAAAGGATGGCTTAGTCTCTGAAAGAAACATATCTAATGATAGTGTTTTTGAAAATGGAACAGATAGAAATGATGCTCGTAGTTTATCTGAGAAGAAGGATGTTGGAAAAGGTGACAGATTGGACTTGGAAAGTGTTGGATCAAAAATCTTCAATGCAATTTTGGCCAAGGGAAGTAAGGTTAACTTTTCAGGGAAGCAATTTACGAAGACTAAAAGGGGAGCCTCTAGGTTGGTAAAAGATAATAATATGGATTCAAGGGAACATGATGGTGTTCGTGTTCATACCTCACACAGTTCAACTTCCTCTACCAATGTGACTAGTCTTGAAAATTCTCCCCAGAAAATTGTCTTTTCTGCCTCAGATAACAACACTGCGATGATAATTCCTAGGAAAAAGCTGAGGTGTATGCTACCACCTAAATCAAGAACATTAATTCATGAGATGAACCACATTCTAGTACGTCGCCGTGCTTCTGCTCATGCAATGGTATTAATATTAATATATCTGTCAATTACGAGTTAGCTACCTGGACAAGACATTGCTATGGTTATTTCAATCTGAAGTTCTACTTTTTATTGCAGAAACCAAGGTGGTCATCCAAACGTGACCTGGAAATTGTTGCTACCAGGTTAGAGATTGAGTATGCTCCTATAGTAACACGAGACAATGAACTTTATGCTCCTCTCTTTCGCAATCTTTCTATGTTCAAAAGGTATGCTTGATGGAGTTGTGAAAGAAAATATGAACTCAACTAAAATAAGTCCTTGGTTTATCAAAAAATAATTAAAAAGCTAAATCCTTCCTTGACATGCATATGTGAGTCAAGCTTGTTTTTCATACACCTGATTCTTCTAATTGATCATTAAAATGTTTGACTCTGGCCACTCCCATTGAAGGTATGATAATTTGGAATGTACCTTAATCTCAACGTCATCATAGTTTTTCTCTGAACATGATTTTGGTCATCATTTGTTTGGTCCTACATTCCTTTTCATTGTCTGACTTGGGTCTGAGCTACTATGACCATTGACCAAAGCTCTAGATCATCTAACTTTTGTTGCTGAATTTGCAGGAGTTATGAACTCATGGAACGCACACTCAAGGTTTATATATACAAGGATGGAGATAAACCCATCTTTCATCAACCTATACTTAAGGGACTATATGCCTCAGAGGGTTGGTTCATGAAATTGATGGAGGAAAATAAACATTTTGTTGTGAAGGATCCTGCAAAGGCACATCTGTTTTATATGCCATTCAGCTCGCGTATGTTAGAGCACTCTCTTTATGTACGAAACTCTCATAATCGAACAAATCTCCGTTGGTTTTTGAAGGAATATACAGACAAAATTTCAGCAAAATATCCTTATTTCAACAGAACTGGTGGTGCTGACCATTTTCTTGTTGCTTGCCATGATTGGGTATGCTGTATGTTCTTCACTTTTTTTCCCTTAAATCTACTTGCATATGAAATAGACTGTTCCAACATGTTTTATTTATAATATTTGAATCCAGCGTCTCTATAATGTCTTAAGGTGATATTCACTTTGAGGAAGTCACATTTGGCTGGCTATATCACTTTCAATTTTGTGAATATAAGGGCAAAGCAACCTTTGATAGTCATTATGTTCTAAAACAGATCATTGTTATATTTAAGTGTTCAACTGAGTTACATCTTTAGTTTAATGTATCACTAAAAATATCAGCACATCAGCAGTGTGCATTTGTAGCATAAAACTATGCATTTGTGCATATTGGTAAAAGATTTATGACTGGATTACTACAGGCTCCATATGAAACAAGACACCATATGGAATACTGCATAAAAGCTCTCTGCAATGCTGATGTGACTCAAGGATTTAAGATAGGAAGGGATGTTTCTCTTCCGGAAGCTTATGTCCGATCGGTTAGAAATCCTCAGAGAGATCTGGGAGGAAAGCCTCCTCACCAAAGACCCATTCTTGCTTTCTATGCTGGAAATATGCATGGTTATTTGCGTCCAATATTGCTAAAGCACTGGAAGGACAAAGATGCTGATATGAAGATATATGGCCCAATGCCGCATGGTGTTGCAAGCAAAATGAATTACATCCAGCACATGAAGAGCAGCAAGTATTGCATATGCCCTAAAGGATATGAGGTCAACAGCCCAAGGGTTGTTGAAGCCATATTTTATGAGTGTGTACCTGTGATTATATCTGACAATTTTGTTCCTCCTTTTTTTGAGGTTTTAAATTGGGATGCATTCTCAATAATCCTCACTGAGAAAGATATTCCCAACTTGAAACAGATACTTCTTTCAGTATCACAAGAGAAGTATCTCAAGTTGCAACTTGGGGTCAGAAAGGCTCAGAAACATTTTTTTTGGCATGTAAAACCCTTGAAGTATGACCTCTTCCACATGACCCTTCATTCAATTTGGTATAATAGAGTATTTCAAATAAAATTGAGATGAGGATACATACGAGTCTTGTGAACAAGAAAGCAGAAGCACTCCTGACAAGGGCTTCTGAAAAAGAAGAGGAAATTTCTGAGTGTGAGAACTCGTTAGAGAATATAGTAGGAACTTGAATTTGTATTCAATGTTTTAGATTGCTCTACATGTATAAATGTGTATCATATTTCTACTGAATGCATAAAAAAGAGAGCTGAAACTGTTATATTTTTGTTCTTGGCCATTTGTTGAAATTTTATTTTGCTACACTTACATTTTGTTGTCTTAGATATCAATGATAAAAAATATATGCTTGCAGAGAAAGGGTTTAAAATGCTATCGTCTATGGTCTTATTCTTCCATTTTGCTCCCATACTTATAAGATGTTTGGAATTTAAACTGTAGTGCGTGTATAGAGTCCTGTAATTATATATCCTTGGTCTGATTTACCTAGAGTTTCCACCTCTACCTACTTAGAGAGAAAACACAAAGTTTTCAAAAATTAGAATAAACAACTTCAAAAATAAAATAGTACCCACAAATGATATGGTCATAATGCATTCCTAATAGGTTTTAAATGACATTAGTCATTATTTTTATGATGAGAATGAGAACTTCATACTAATGTACGCCTAAAGAAATGTACATGTTATCATCAGTTTTAGTTATGATAATTATTACTACATTATTAGAGATTGATTAAAGTAGTTTTCCTTAATCAACATGATTGGTTAGAATAGTATGATATACTGAGTCACTGCGTGTTGAAGTAACGTGTGAAAGTTTCTCTCATCTCTATTGCCACTCGTAACAGAAACCAACGCTCGCTCGATTCTCCTCATGAAATTACGGAAAGTCCACAAAATTCGAGAATTTCGAAGCAATCATCTCTATCCCATCCATTCCTATAGAGGGTCCCACACTACATGCTCTTAAGTTTACTATTATCCTGTGTTGCATGTTGGTTTTGTTTTGTGGTACACCTGTGCCCAAGCGGTTAAAAATCCGTACCTTGACTTCGAAGTTATTCTCAATGTCAGAAAAAGCAACCAGAAGAAGTAAAAGGAAACTAAGGATTTTTGCATTCTATTAAGAACCAGAAACGGAGAAAAAATATGGAGCATATGTTTATCTTGCATGCTATAAATGAAAATTACAATGGAGCCACTTAGGCACATTATTTTATGTGTTGTAATGTAAAATTCATAACTGGGATTAATTAGACGATGTAGATAAAAATTGATTTTAAATCAAACTGTTGCTAAGGATAGTTACCAAAAAATATGCTTCGAAGGAGATATAGCTTCATCGCATGTTTTGCTTTCTTTGCTTTCTTACTAATCCATTAGTCACTTTGTCCTTTTATGTTATATGATACATAAAAAATCACAACGATCTTCATTTTGGAAAAAGATAGTGTCTGTATTTGCAACTTGCAACGTGCTTCCCCTTTATTGTCATGCTTCAAGTTCCAACAGTATGTTGTAAACTACTCTATCGGTACTAGTCCATTATTTTTGTCTTCTTTGAGATATTGCTATGCATACTTGGACCAATCTGTGTTTCTATGAGAGAAAGTATAATCTATTTCTCCCATTGGCAGGGTTGTAGTCGTTTCCTTTGCTGTTTCTCTTGTTGTATTGTGGGATTCCAGAACCTTTTACCTAGATAGATACAAATTTATGATGCTTTGACAAAGATATGAATGTTGGATGACAGACTATTTTACTGTTCATCTTTATTTGGATACTATTAGCTTCTTCTGAACTATAATTGTTAAGTTGGTAGGGGGAAAATTTAATCAATGGTAATCATACTCAGAGTACTTAGATGTTCTAATTCATTGTTAAATTTGGTCACAGCTCATCATATAAGAATTTTTTTATTTTTTTATTTTTTTTTGGCTTTAGCTTGATCGTTTATGACTCAGATGTCTGTGTCTGCTACAAACATTTTTGTATGATTTTTTCTTCTTTCAGGGGTGTGGCAATGATTTGATTGGATTTTGCTAATTCATGGATGGCATACTCACCAATTTTGAGATTGACAAGTTATATTAGATTGACCGAGTTATACAATTTATTGGTGAGTTCTTCATCTTTTCACCATGGTACATTTCTCAAATATAGAAAGTGGTGATCTGTGATTTTCCAACTTCCATTTTCTATATGCCTTTGTAAAGCATAATATAACTATATTTTGCACTATGCCAATACTGCAGAGGATCTGGTACTTAAAGATATAGCTAGGTACAGAAAAAATTTTGGAGTCTTTCCAGTAGCCATCTCGTCAATTCACTGTTCAGAAGGTGAAAACCATGGAACCTGTGAGAGAAAAGGCTTTAACAATAATGAAAAAATGCTTGAAGTTACAAGTTCTATACTTCTACATGCCAGCTCTATCTTTGCAACCATTCCTTCCTTTTTCTTAAAAGGGTAATAACCTTTTCTTTTGCATGTTTAACAACAATTACAGAAAAACACCAAAGCACACATTTAAATTTAAGTCTAATCCGCACTCAATCAGTGAATTTTAAATTATCGGGTTAAATGTTCAAATTAGATGAAGTTGAATGAATAATTTTTTTTTTAAATTTTACTTCTTTCAATTAAATATTAGGACCAGGTGTTCATTTTTTGTTAATACTTTGAAAATCAACATTTTGTAATTATGTAACTGCTGCTGATATATCTCCATCTCTTTGCAGTTTGAAACTCCCATTACTTGGTTTGCAGTATGCTTGGAGTTTGGGAATGGCCTCCTGTAGATATTTTTTATCATGCAATAAATGTGCCCAATTTCATGTTCATAGGTAAAGGGTTGTGGAAGCAAACTGGTCGGAATGATATATTCTGGAAAATGAGTAGATTGCTCTTTTCCAAAATCTCTGTATCCTTATTAGTCTATAATTCATTGTGATTTTAATCATTTAGCGAGAAAAAACTGACTACATAGATAATTTTTTGGTTACTATTTTACTGAATAGTGCAAATCTTGTTAATAATGGTATTCTCAGAATTAAATCTCGTCTGGTGAAAACCTTGCGTGGTTCTTCAGATGATATTGGGTGGTTGCAGCTTGCTCCTAGAATGCCTCTAGTACAGGATGGAACTTCAAGATTCTTGGAATTGCTTTCAGCCATAAGGTTCCCCATTTTATAATAAGGTGTAAATTGAAATGGAGTCACTGAACAATAAATTTCTTTCTGCAATTCTCATTAACCTTTTCAAGACCATGATTTTCTTACCAGTTTCTTCATTTGCCGTTTGTGGTACTACTGAACTTTCGATGGAAGTTGTTTCCCATTTTATGTCTGTATGTTACATTACTTTTAGGTTTGACATCATCCAAGTTTTCGGTATTACTGGTTATCTATATTATTGTGTCATTTTAAAACTATGCTTCCCCATTTCCACAACCAATCAAAATCTAGTAGGTTTCTTGTCCATCATTTTATTGGAGGGAGAGAGTTTGTTCACATACACTGTGTTTGGGTTTTATTATTCAACAGGAATGGAGAGCACTCGCTACCCAGTTCATTTGTTTATCTGTTGATTCCAGGTATTTGAATAATCAAGGTTTTAAATTTCAGTTATGATTGCAGTTTCGCCACATTTCTAGATATTGTGGCCGATGCAGTCGCAATTATAGTCAAAGATAACCTCAAGACCTTGACATTTGCAGTCAAGATCAAAAGATTATTTTATTAGGTGTTAGAGTCTCAAAAGGAGTACCACATAATTTAGTTCATTGGACTCAATCCTCCTCACAGTTGTGGAACGTTTTCAAAATCCATATCACCTACCTTTGCGGTTGAGATAAACATATATTTCCATTCTAAGATCAGAAGCTTCACATGTTACAGGTCTCTTTAGCAATCATGGACCCTTGTATTTTGTTGCCACTAAGAGATTTTTTTCAAAGATGGGCTTAGCTTGCCATATTGCAAAAGTTCATAGTGAGGTAATTGATCATTAAGTCATTTAAATTAGTCAACCGATTTTAACCAATGTAAATAATTTTCCATTCACACTACAAAATCTTCTTATGTTGTTTGCTGAGGAGTATCTAAGCATATAGTTTAAAAATTGTGCTTCTTTTCCTGCCGAGGAGTATCTGCTTCTGTCCACACACAGTTTCAAATTTCCTCCATTATGTTTGGTGACCCTCATTAGTAGTTAGTTACAATAGGTTAGTTAGTACCTGTTACTTAGTTACCATAGTGAATGAGATACTAGAGTAAGTTATATCGTCTGCAAATAGGAGGGAAGTGGAGAGAAATCATCTTGTTTGTGAGGGAAAATTGGGGGCTTTGGATATTGGGAGGTGTAGATCCTTAACGTTCTGCAGAGTTGTAGTTGCATTCAGGAAAGAATCCCGTTATGTTTTCTGCTCAGATAGTGGATTTTTATCATATTCACATAAAACCCATATTCTTATGGTGTCTTAACTTTTCTGAGGCATATTTTTTTCTGTTTTAAGGCATCAGTGCAACAAAATGCCTACGAACTGAAGCTCTACATTGAGGAGATTTACTGGGGATTTGGCAAGCCTATCATGATATTGGGACACAGTAAGGGTGGTATTGCTGCTGCAGCTGCATTATCTATTTATTGGTCTGACCTGAAGAACAAAGTTGCTGGTTTGGCCCTGGTACAGAGTCCATATGGTGGTACTCCTATTGCTTCTGATATCCTCCGTGATGACCAGATTGCTGACAAAGAAACCCGGAAGATCTTGGAACTTATAATATGCAAAATGATTAAGGTAACTGTTTCCTATGCTATAAAGTTTGTGCATGGACTTGAAAGTACAAAATGCTTATTTTATTGTACCTATTAGTGATAGCAGAAAAGGGAAGTTTACCTTTCTTTTGGTTATTAATTAGATGCCATTTACATGTACTTCAGGGTGATATGATGGCTTTGGAGGATCTCACATACGACAAGACAAAGGAGTTTATCATGAAACACAACCTCCCCTTAGATATTCCTCTGATCTCCTTCCATTCTGAAGCAAGCATTGCCCCTGGTGTTCTTGCAACAATGACTCAAATAGCTCATGCAGAACTTCCCTGGCTCTCTCTCTGCCAAAATCATGTATTATTGAGTCTGGTACATTTGTTGAATCAGGACACCAGATTCCTGTAATGATTCCTATATCTGCTGCCATGGCTGTTTGTGCTCTCCACCTGTGGCTCAGATACGGAGAAAAGAGTGATGGCCTTGTGACATGCCGTGATGCTGAAGTTCCGGGATCAGTTGTTGTAAGACCCAACCAAAATGAAGCTTGATCATGCCTGGCTGGTGTACTTTTCAAAGAAGCAAAGTCCTAGCGAACCTGACTCTTGTGAAATGTGTGAAGCTCTGTTGACTTTACTTGTAGAGCTTGGTAACACAAAGGGAAGTGGATAGAAGTTGTTACATTGAGATATGATATGATATGCTTCAATTTTTTGCCAGGTAGTTGTGTCCTTTGTTCAGTTTTCTTTGATTGTTGTGTCCTTTGTTTAGTTTGCTATGATTGTTGTATCGTGTGTTCAGTTTGAGATACCAAGTTTTATATGTAGTGAGATATGCTTCAACTAATCATGGTTGTTATTTTTATTAAAGTCAATGATTCATTATCTCAGGTCTGATACACCATGAACAATAACAAGAATAATTTTCAAGAACAAAAGAAAGAAAGAATGAGAAGAAATCAAAGAATTGGAAATGTTGAAGCTGAATGTGGGAAAGAAATCTTAAAATGGAACAGGGAGGATTAAGGTGTGTTAAATAAAAAATTGGTAGCAAAATCATTTTTATGCTTGTGCTCGAACCACTGTTGCTAGAGTTAGAGGGTAAAGAAAAATCTAAAAGTGTTTGTTAAGTTATAAATACTTAAAAACTAACTAAACACAGAAAAATACTTAAAAACTAACTAAAAATACTTAAAAACTAACTAAAAATACTTAAAAACTAACTAAAAATACATTTGGCGAAAACTAACTAAACACAGAAAAATACTTAAAAACTAAAAACCTAAATTAATAACGTAGAATTGAAAAATAGTTTGTTAAGTTATAAATATTTGGTAAAATTATACTAAATATAATATTAGAATCATGGAAATAGTCTTGTTAATATAATATTTTATATTAATTTTATTTATTAATAAAAATATATTTTTGCAGTATTTATAATTATAATTTTAAAATTTTGTAATTTTTTAAGTAAAAATATAATTTTTTTTATTTTTGATTATCATATTTTTTTATTCTTTTTAGATAATATCTACTTATTTAGCATGTTGATATGAAATTCCATGTGTTTCATCATTGCTCGACAAAAACAAATTATTGTACAGAAATCGTTCTAAAAAAATATTAAATTATAAGAACTACTTTAAAAATTAGATCTAAAGAAAAAATCATTTATAGAAATTACAGGTATAAACAAATAAAACATTTATAACACTAATTAAATGTGGTTATTTATCAAATACTTCTATAAAACAAGAGATTCAATTTTCATTTTCCCAGCATGGTTTCATCTACGCTAGTCACTCATGAAAAAAGGAAAATAATAGAATAGGATCTCTTACGAAAAACTAAAAAAATAATATGAGTGTATTAAGTGATAAATGATATTTATAAATATTATTTATTTTTTTATAAATATGATATTTTAAAAGTAGTATATTTATTATTTGGTATCTACTCTACTAGGTTTTATTAATGGCGTGTGACTTTATTATTTGAACTATATTATACAATGTTGACATTCCATTTTATTTGAATTTTAAAAAGGAATAAATAGTGTAGTTACAAGTCTATGTCTTTATTATTTGTGCCAGTCTATTTTTTTTTATGAAATCAAATAAATATTTTTTTCCATAATCATTTTATACGATAAAAGGGGATCTTTGAGATTTTTAACTATTTTAATTAATATTCAAATTATCAAAACAACATTTTATTATTTTTAAAAAATTTACAGTTTCATATTTTGTTTTGAATAAAACAAATATTTATTTATATAATACACACGTGTGATTTAAATGGAAATAGATGGAGTACGTGGCTGAGGGGTTTAGGACAGTATTTCTTGGGCCAAAGTGGATCATTGAGTGCTTTACACCATGAATTAGTTGTATAGTGTACTAAGACTAATACAAACCAAACAAGGGTCTTTCTCATGCACCATGCATATTAATTTATGTAAATAAAATTTTATTTTCTTACCTTCAATTTCACCAAAACAAAATTGTACATAGCTTTTAGAGAAGTAGTGAATTTTTTTTTTATCTGTCTGGTTCTTCCTCTTTTTTCTTTTACTATTTCATAAACTAAGCGCCAAATGACTAATATATCAAAACGTTTTTCTCAAAAAAAAAAAAAAAAAAACATCATATTTGATCTCTAGTTTTATTTGAGCATAATTTATAAGGAATGAGTTTTTATTAAACCTAATATTTTTAATTTCTTTTATTAAAATCATTTTGATTCAAAATCTCAATCGATTTTATCTTAATTTAATTATTTAAAAATAAGAATCAAATTTTAAATCAATTTCTGTTATGAAAGGAGATTTGGTACAATTTTTAAAATATAGTTGAAATTGTAATTTGGAGTTTATAATTAAGAGGAGAGAAACAAAAATGAGAGATATTATGACTTTATGGTGGATCTATGAGACCACAAAGTTGGATAGAAAATGGAATTTGCAGTTATTTATTGTGGACACTACTTGTAACAGTACACGAGATTAGACCAACAATAAATGCCATTGTCAACAACTACTAAACTGTTCCAAAATTTATGGGAGAAATTGAATAAACTATTTTATTTATATTTTTAAATTTCTATATAATTATAGTGCCCAATATAGTGTATTACAAATATTTTTAGATCATTTAATCTTGTGAACTCGTTAGAACGTTCTATATCCTAATAAATAAAAACCAATTAGATAAATACATCATTTTTTGTGTGTTTTTTTTAATGAAAAATAAACTTTTCACTTGGATATATATTTAAACTATTTTAACACAATAGACATATTATGTGGACAAAAAAAATCAAAAAAGTAATTTTTATGTCCTTTCTTGTAATTTAAGAATTTTTTTTTGGAGTTATAAGAACATATTTTAAACACTTTTTAAAATTTTAGGATTAAATTTTACATAGTATTTTTATTAAATTTAAGTTTATGACTAATCTCCATTCTAAATAATGTAAACTTTTTAATGTAATTCAAACTAATGTTCCCTTGCAATATCGAGCCTAACCATTTTCAGAAGGGGGTATGATAGTAGGAATTATGAGTGGAAAGTGAGTAAGAGAAACCTTTAAACCATGAATAGCCAAACACCACCAGAGTCCGGTCCCGTTGGTCCCGTTCTTTTAAATTCAACTCTTTCTCTTCCCGAAAATATTTCAAAAACTCTTTCTTCAAAAATAGAAAACCTTATAGAATATTCCTATATTCCAGAAGATGCTCAGATCTCTGAGACATACAGTCCTCTCCTTAGTCCTTATAATATTTTCAAGAGACAACGATCCACTCTCAAATCCATTACTCGTCTGATTCATACCAGAAGACCTCCTGTTAAGGAGTTCGTCCAAGCTTCCAGAATGGATCAGTGCGCCTTAGCATCCACTGCTGAAGAACAATATGTAAGTATTGAGATTCCTAAAGAAGCTATTAGACACTGACAAACTGAAGGATACACCCATCTCCACTATGGAGCAGTCCGACTTGTTCTCTCTCTACATGGAAGACGGGGATTACCTGTCTCAGCCAGAGTTTCTCTTTTAGACTCTAGCTACCTTCACTATGAACATGCCGTCATTGGTACTGTTCTAACTACTCTTCATGCTGGAAGTGTAGTTCTCACCATCTTCCCTAACTTCAACGTTAGTTTAAGGGATCCTACAATCTCCCAGAGACTGAAGGTACAAATCCAGATTACTGGAGCCGAACAAGTGGCAGATGCCTTATCAACCACTCTTCATCATCAAATCATATATAGGTTGCAAGATCATGCTATTAATCTTGCCCTGCCATCCTGCAAAGATGGAGCACTCTTCGTCTTGGCCAACAACCAAGATGAGACACCTTCTATAGTCCAAATTCCCAAAAATATCTCTTCACAAGAGCTTCATAAGCTCATTCTGATGCAGTGGGTAACCAACTATGAGAAGCTCCATACTAACCAGAAACTCATCCAGTTCTCAGAAGCAACTTTCAGAAGATCTGTGGATGGAACTGTCAGAACTATCTTCAAGAATCCAGAAGAAACTCCTAGTTCCAGCACCTCCATTTTCCAGTCAATGATGATAACACCTGTAACCAAAGAAGGAAAAATCCCAATCAACAGTGTACGTCCTGATGGTAAACCTATCTTTACTGACAAGATAGGGGGACATTTCATTTGGGATATTGACCCAGAAATGTGCGATTCTGACTGTGACTGCTGTGACCACTATGGAGACACTAGCGATGAAGATGATGACTCAGATAGTGATGACGATAATGATGACTTCAAAGGAGGATCCTGCAAACCTCCATTCTCTCCTTCCAGGAAATTTGAACCTGGAAAAGGCCCATGGATAGGAATCCATCGCCAACCTGAATCAGATCCCTTATGGAAATACAAGCGATATGCTGAGATCCTTGAAGAGGAAGGCCTCCTCTTCCTTAAACAAGAAAAGTGCAGAACCTCTGCCATACTACCTCAGCTTACTCCTGTAGCTCTTCCCGTTCCATGTATGATGATAAATCCTTCAGCTTATAAGGAAGAATTTCCTCCATTAGAGAGGAACACCGACCCTGTGTCCAAGACAATGACTAAACCTCATGTCGTTTGTCAGGAAATTGGGCCAGATAGGAAGATTAAACCATTAAGTCAGGCAGAAGAAGTCCTGAACTGGCAGACAGAAAATGCTCGAGCTCAGAACTCAATCTTACAGAAGATTGACAAGAAGATTGATAAGATCTCCACGCACCTAGAGGAGACTGACGATAAGCTCCAGCATCTTAACTCTACTTTGAGAAAACACTATAAACAACTCTCCGCAGAAATCTCAAAGTTAGAAGAAGATTGGAAGACCACTGTCTTCGGAGAATTATCTCATGCAAAAGAAAGAGAAATAAGGAAGCTCAAAGCTCATATTCAAGAAATGGATAATTACATTGAAGAAAAGATTAGGCAACAAAATCCAGAAAAACAACTATATACATCCTTGTTTTCTCCAACTCCAGCCTATTCTTCTTTTCAAAATCCTCCTCCTTATTTCCGACCAAACTCACAAACCACATGGTCATTACCAACAGCTACGGCTTATAGGGCTAGGTTCAGACCAGTAGCCCCTAAACCAGATAAAGGAAAGAAGGTAGCCCAACCTTCTTCAGAATCTTCTTTTGATGATCAACCCTCACCAAAAAGGCCAACTCAGCAAGAACCATTTGATCCAATCTTTCAAGATTCCCAAGATCCATACTCGCAATTAACTATAGAATCTTTTCCAACTCCTGCAACTCCAGATACTCCGACAATGAATGAAGAATCCTCTGAGAAATCAGAAACTGAGATCCATGTTTCTGAAGAGTCGGAAACTGAAGTCCTTACTTCTGAATCGGAAACAAAAGTTCCCAGCTATGAGGATCTTACACAGATACTCATGACCAATACCTCCAGATCAGAAGTCCGACATGAGTCAATTTACGACCCTCCAGACGAAGAAGCTGACTCAGGTCCCACAAGGACAAATATGTCATCAAAGACAAATGGTGGACCCTGGTTCACTATTGATGATATTTTATTGTTCTCACCAAACATGGACTCCCATAAACAATTATTGGAGCAATTCTTTGAAATAGCCCATCAACATGGAATAATGCTCTCAGAGAAAAAAATCCACTTGGCCCAAGAAGAAATTGACTTTCTAGGAATGCACTTCAGTCATGGATCTTATCAACCTCAACCACACATTGCTGAAGAACTTCTTAACTTCCCAGATGAAAATCTGACCATCAAGCAGATCCAACAATTTCTCGGGATAGTTAATTATATCAGGGAATTCATCCCTAATGTTGCAAGAAATACAAGTCCTTTGTCCAAGCTCTTAAAGAATAATCCATCTCCATGGGGATCAGAACAAACCAGAGCCATTAAAGAACTGAAAAAGATCGCTCAAGCTCCTCCTTCTCTGAAAATTCCAGGTAATGGAAAAAGAATATTGCAGACTGATGCCAACGATGAATACTGGGGAGCAGTACTCATTGAAGAAGAAAATGGAAGAAGATACTATTGTGGACATGCAAGTGGACAATTCAAAGATGCTGAAAAACATTATCACACCACATTCAAGGAAGCCTTAGCCGTCAAAAATGGCATAAAAAAGTTCGACTTCCATCTTAGAGGATATCACTTTGAGGTTCAGATGGACAACTCTTCATTCCCGAAGATCTTAGAGTTCAAGAACAAGATGCCTCCTAATCCTCAGATTCTCCGGCTAATGGACTGGTTTTCCAGGTATGATTTTACTGTTAAGCATATTAAAGGAAACCTAAACACAGTCCCAGATCTTTTGTCTAGACCCAAAAAGAATGTCCAATTAATAGTTGATAACTATAGTCTTCCTCTTATCTTTATGGTCAAACCTCTCTCAGACAAAGCCAAAACCGTCAAAGTCTATCCACTTGGTTTAAACCCAACCACACCAGCCGATATTCTCCACTATGCCAGAACAAGATATTTTTACTTTTTACATGAAACCTTCAGATACAAAGTAATTTCAGCCTCATCATTCAACCCTGATATTCCCTTTGGGGGAATTTTTGAACTATTTTGTGAACCTGGTTGGGATCTTTGTGAGCCTACCCTTTGGACCATTTGGTGCGATACAGTTCAATACTCCATTCCCATTGCACTAAAAACACAAACAGCTTACAATATTTTGACACATCCGTATAAAGACAAATTCCTTTTTTGGACACTACTCGAATGGTTTTCTCCAATACCAGTTTTTGAAATATTCACTACTACAAATAAAGCTTTCAACGTCGGTTTAATAACCGACGTTGAAAGTATGATTTTTTAAATTAATAATTTTTATTTATTTACAACCCCTTTACCCCCTTTTATTTATCTAGAAGTCTCCCTCTCTTCATATTATATTTTTATTAGGTCCTCCATCTCTTTATATTATATTTTTTAGAAGTTTTTTAATTTTTAAGAGAATTGTCATTGGCGGGATTCGAACCCGAGTACTTTAGAGTTGGAGGTCGATACTCCAACCACTAAACTACTTGAATTTTTTGATAATAACATACAAATAAATTATATTTATATACAAATAAATATATATCCGTGTAAATATCACTTGTAGAAATCCAACCCAGTGACCTTGAATCTCAAATCCGATTCCAGCTTCGAAGATCTTTAACCCAAGATGCATGACCCGACCTCAAGCTTGAAATCCAACCCAGTGACCTTGAATCTCAAATGCGAGTGACCAAAACACCCAATCAAAACCCAAGCAACTTCGAATCTCAACCCCAGCCTCAACCTCGACGAACTCGAGGCCGAACCCCAACTCGGCGACATCGAACCCCAATGTCAAGCCAAACCCAATTGTCATGCTCGTGAAACCCAACGCAAACCCAGCGGAGCTCGAACCCTAACGCATACCCTAGTGACGTCGAACTCTAACCTCGAGCCAACCCCCACTTTAATTCGGTCGCAATTAGCGATTGATTGATTGCTCAAGGATGTGTAAAAGATGATATATTCAATGTATGTTAAAAAAGTTCAAGCCAAACTGTTTTTATAGAAGATTTTCAAAACTGCTGGTTTAATTAATCTGTTAAAAGATTCTTTTAATCTGTTAAAAGTGCAGTTTTAATCTGTTAAAACTTCTTTTAATCCATTAATACGTTCTTGATTCTTTAACAAATTTGTTTTAAGCTGATACGACAACGTTTATATCAATTAAAACACTTTACAAAAAATCTTCTAAGTTGATTTAATCGATTGTTTCGCGATTCAATCGATTGAAATACTACAAAACTTTCTCGTAAAACTTTTCAAGTTATTTTAAGCTGATAAAAATAAGTTTTAATCGATTAAAACGTTGTGCGAAATTGTTCTAATCGATTGAAACAAGATTTAATCGATTAAAATAGTTCGATCGGTCATAATCGCATTCTGATCGATCATAATTGAAACAATATAATAGCGGTTCCAGGTTAACCGCTATCTAAAATGTTTTTCGCTTGAGCGACACTCTTCTCGCTCGAGCGAAACGCCCCCTGCACAAAATTGGCATTCTCGGGTTGTATTTCGCTTGAGCGACACTACTCTCGCTCGAGCGAAATAAGATTCTGATCGATCATAACTTGAAATGATCGATCATAATTGAGAGGATATAATAGCGGTTCCCTTATAACCGCTATCTAAAGTGTACTTTAGATAGCGGTTCCCTTAGAACCGCTATCTAAAGTGTATATTAGATAGCGGTTCCCTCATAACCGCTATCTAAAGTGTGTGAGTTTTTGTGGGGAAAAAAATCAATATATTGCTTACGAGGTTTCGACGTCGGTTATACCCACACCCGACGTTGAAAGTCCATGCAGAAGGGTTTTCAACGTCGGGTGAGGGCATAACCGACGTTGAAAGCCTACTTTCCACGTCAGACATGCTAAAACGACGTAGAATGTGTCAAAATTCGACTTTCGACGTCGGTTGTTGACCAACCGACGTTGAAAGCATATTCAACGTCGGCTAAGATGTAACCGACGTTAAACAGTGACGTTGAAAGCATATTTTCTAATAGTGATTTTCGGGAAGAGAAAGAGTTGAATTTAAAGGAACGGGACCAACGGGACCGAACTCTGGTGGTGTTTGACTATTCATGGTTTAAAGGTTTCTCTTACTCACTTTCCACTCATTATTTCATCACGATTTTATTTTTATTAAATATTTATAATCTATCCTTTTGTTCCAATGGAGTGTTATGAGATATCTGGTGTATCCTATTAAATAAACTAAAAATAATATATTTATTATTACTGTAAATAAAAATAATATATAAATCAGAATGAAATCGTGGAGTATGGGTGACACGTGACTTGCATGTGAATAAGATGAGATAGAGAGTGTTACTCTGATGAAAAATAAATTAACACGTGGCTCCACTCATTTAATACCATTTGTTTCAAGTTCTGCACTCTGTAACTACCACCACTCTTCAATGCCATTCCTTATAGAATGACCAATTTAGTAAAACAAATACACTCTAAATAACTAAACTATAAAACTTTTTAAATTTATTAAACAACATAATAATAAAAAACATAAATAAAAGACAAAAAAATTTGTTTTAACCCAATTATTTGCCTATTAAATGTTTGAGACACCCAATAATGCTCCAAAAGGTATGTTCTGTTTTATATAAGTGGAAAGTAACAATTTTTTTTTTAATTATGTGAAGAAGGTGGGACAGTTAAACAGTTAAACAAAAAATAGTAACTTTTTGAGGTATTAACATGGTTTAATGGTGAAGAACCTCCATTTTTCATGATGTCTTTGTTGAGGTAGTAACTACTCTAGTGAGTTTTTAAGTACATTCATCAATAATTTCCCGACATAGAAGTAGTTTCATGGACATTTCAATCTTTAAAGTTCAATCTTTTCATGCCATATAATCCTTTATATATATAATTTTGAATAAAAATTATTATACTATTTGAAAGTTCTATTATTATGTATTGAGAAATTAACTTAGTTCAACTCCACTAGAAGTCTAGTCTAAAATTAATTTGGATTTAAAAATATATTAGATATAATAGCTATTTATTTTAAAATATTTATTATGAAATATAACTTAATTTAAATTTTATATTTTTTCTATTCTATTATTTAATTATACATAACATTAAATTTTTTATATATTATATTCTAGTGTCAATAACAAACCTGATCCAATTTTAAATATTCATAATCGATTTTAATGTTTGAGACTAAAATCAATATATATGTCTATGAAATTTTTAAGCGCTTCAAAATTAGTATATATTTGACGTGAGATACAATAATAATTGACGTTCATTCACAATTACACTAGTTTTAAATTTGTTTCTCGCACTTATCAATATTAGGTTCTAAAATAAATAAATAAATGAAGTTTTACTTAAATTCCGAAAATTAAACCTTATTTATCTAAATCTATAGTGAAGAAACTAGAATTGAAACAACTAAATGTTTGTGTTTAAAAAAAAATAAAATAAAATAAGCACATCAATTTGTCGGATTCTCTTAATATCTTGACAAAACCCATGAAATAAATTTGTAGATTATATATTTATGAACCTCAAATCTTCATGATTGTTTACAAATTTGTACACAGGAAAACTAACTAAGAGCAACAAAGTGAATAGATGTTAATTATGGTCATAAATGAAATCACCAACTCCTCAATCAGAGAAAGTCTCTGCCATTTTCCCTAAATCAATGCTAAAAAATCCAGCTTAACAGAACTTGTGTCCCGTTGTGATTGGTTACAAACACTTTCCCTAAATCGGCATTCTATGCCAAACATCCAAAAACTAATTTTGTGTCATTTTATGTCGATGGAAGACGTAGTTGAAATGTTAGATTTTTCTAATGCGGGGACCAAATCCTTCAATGCTTAGATTCTGTATTATCCCGTATTGAGAAATTAGTAACACGATGGAAACAAACGGTAGATTTTGTTCTGTTTTGTCATGCGTTCTTTGTCCAAGAAAAATAGATAAAGAAAGAATAACCCAAAACAACGAATGAAAACGCCAACGTTTTGTTTGAGCTCACTGAAAAGTGAAAAAACTAATCCATTATCTCTTCCTGTCAGGTGGATGACAATGTGAATATAATCACAAGGCCCCCCTACCTTTTCAAAATATACTTCTCTCCCCTTTCACTCGCTACAGGACAAAACCACTCTTACTCATATTTTCACACCAAAAGTATTCAAATTACTTTATACGTATAAAAGAAAAACATTTTTGTTTATTAACTAGTATCCTTACAAATTGAAGCAATGCCAAAGTAAACAACTTGGGGTTTAAAGATAAAAAAAAAAAAGCCATCCCACAAGAATAGTATTCTCACTGTTCCAATCAGGCATTGGCACAAAGTAGACAGGAAGTAAAACAAGAGGCAAAAGATTGTACATTTATTTTAAAAATTTCTCTTTTATTCCATTTGCATGTCCATCTTTTTTTTCCTTTCACCTGTATCCCCTAGTAATAAAATGGTACAAGTATCATTAATGAATAAAGATGGAAAGATTAACTAACAGGGTTGGAATGTGGCCAAAGTGTCACAGCTGAAGAGGGGGGATTCAGTAATGAGTCCTCCATTCTAAAACCAAAATTTGTACTTTTGCATAGAACATGTCTATTTGAATGTAGAAATACAATTCAACTCTATTCAAAACATATGTCTTAATCACATATAATAATTAAAGTTAAGTTAATTAAACTCTAAATGAATGAAGGAGAGTGAGATAATCCAAGTAGAAAAGGCACGAGGCCTCCTCTCCTCTGCCAGGCTGTGTTTGATAGGGCAGTGGTCAAGCTATTAAGGGCGACTGGCCCCTTGTTACCTTCCTTCATTCACTCGCCCTTGCGTATCTCATCACTTTCCCTACAAATAAAATAAAATAAAAATCATTCATTTTTAGATCTTTGTAGATGTGCATGCACCGCATTGTGTTCATGCATACATATTATGTATATATGCATGTTTATTATGGCATGATGGAGGGTTGAAAGCAGAGCCATTCGTGTGGGGGTCACTTACAAATAAGACCCACGTTTCTCTTTCATATCTTTAGTCCTCTTCTCTCCCCCCTTACTAAAACCCCACCCCAACCCTTCCATCCTCCTCCTCCTCCTCCTTCTCCTTCCTCCTTCAATCTTCATCACTCACTCTCTTCACACACGCACCACCTCTCATTTTCATTCCATTCCAACTATTTATACACACACACACACCCCTCCCTCCAAGTTACTATTCTCATTACATTATACCAGTTACTAGGGAACAACCTCATCCAATCAAACCTAAACCAAACATATCACACACTCGCTCACTCAAACACAAACACCAACTCCAAACACAGACGCGCACTGTTCTTTAAAAGGAGTGAACAGAAGTAATGGCTGAGCTACCTAGCTCAGACCCACCAAGCTCCGAAGCATCATCATCTGCTTCCACTCGCAAGCACTCGTCTTTGGAGGCCCATTTGACCGGCCCGGACCAGAAAAAGCCCAAGCAGGCCCGAGATAGCAGCAGCAAGCACCCCGTCTACAGAGGGGTCCGAATGCGAGCCTGGGGGAAGTGGGTATCGGAAATCCGCGAGCCCAGGAAGAAGAACCGGATCTGGCTCGGCACCTTCGCCACAGCCGATATGGCGGCGCGTGCCCACGACGTGGCGGCGCTCGCCATCAAAGGAAACTCCGCCATTCTCAACTTTCCCGACCTGGCCGGCTCCCTGCCCCGGCCCAACTCCAACTCGCCGCGGGATGTTCAGGCGGCGGCGGCCAAGGCGGCGGCCATGGAGGTGATGGATCTGCCGACGACTCCGTCGTCGACACTGTCGCAGTCGTCGTCTTCTTCTTCGTTAGCGATTAGCTCCTCCTCCGGGGAGGCGTCGACGCCGGAGGAGCTGGGGGAGATAGTGGAGCTGCCGAGTCTGGGAAGGGGTTTGGAAATAGCGGAGGCGAGTGAGGAGGTGGTGTTTCTGGAGCCGGTAGACGGGTGGCTGTATTCTCAGCCATGGTGTGGCGGCATTTATGATGAGAGGGAGTGTGGGGGGTATTTTATTGCGGATGAGATTTCAATGCAGGAGTCAGAGAGCATGATTCTTTGTGGCTTTGAGGGTTCATTGTGGCAGCATTAATGTGTGTGTGTGCACTGCTTTCCTTTTTTTGTCCCATTGATTTTATTTGACTTTGAATGTGTGAGGCCTTTCCCAATTTTTCACTTGAAGGGCTAAATACATTTCTTGTCTCTCAAGTAGGATGATGGACCTACTCTTTCTACTACCACTTCTTTCACTCACTCTCTTCCTCTTTTTTCTCATCTTCCACAGCATCTATCTACGTTATGTCTATGCCTCCTCTGCTTTTGCCGTGGCACCATCCTTGTCAAAATCCAATGTCTTGTTCTATCATGTAATAATTATAATAATTATAATAATAATAATAATAATGAAATCAGATACACGTATAGAAATGGTGCCAGATCTTGTATCATATAATTATTAGTATATTTATTATTCTACTTTTCATTCACAGGACTAATAAAAGGAAAAGCAGATTCTCTATTTACAGTTTTCATTTTTTTGTATCAGATATCTTCTCCTTCTCCTTTTTCTTAATCAATGGCTTTCGTATCTTTAGTTCAGCAGTGAATATGAAATGCATGGCTTAGAAATGGGACTTCAGTTTTACCAAATACTTGACCCAAAAATAAAATAAAATAAAATTTAACAAGTTGTTTATCATATGACCTACACATTTATACAACTGTAGTTTAGAGCATATTCAATGGTGTGGTGGTCATTAAAAGATAAGTTACTGTTACAGGTGTGATATGAGAGTAGAGTTGTGAACGTGTATAAAAGACATCACGCGGATGTTATTAGTTTCTCACGTTCTCTTTGGTTAGCTGTATTGCATTTTGGGAAACTAAAAACTAGTACCTGCTCTGCTAGATTTGCAAGATGTGGCAAAGTCCAAAACAATAATGACATATTACTAACTAGAAGCAAAACCATCCAATGTTAAGGTGTCATGATGTTTCGACACGAACACGGAATTAGAAATTTTCAAATATTACTGTCACTAAAAACAAACTGCAAATATTACTCTAGACGAATTTTAAAACGGAAGAATAAAGATGTGCACGAGTTGAAAGTTGAAGCTAATAGTAAATACCAGTTTCTGCGTTTTCAAGGTATTTGACGTGAACAGTGAAGATCAAAATTCAACTAAGTTTACTTGGCGTAAATCCTACATCTCACTCCAACTTTAAAACAAAAGTTTTAGTGGGAGGATTACTGAAATTAATACATATTACTAATATTATCTGATATTTGTTTGGTTGACGATAGTTGCATCCTTTGTTTGTGGGGTTCAGATGGCTCGTGCTGGTGACAGGTTGCATTCAGCAATTGGTGCGCTGTTATGTTACGACGTGTTGTGTACGTGTGTGTGCAGTGAGTGTTTTGAGCTTGGGAATGTGGTCATCAAAGACCCAAAATCTTAAAACATTCAGAATAATAAAATGGTGAGAGAACATCTATGATAATTGATTCCACGTTTACGTTCTAAGTGGATTATTACTTGAGAGGTCTCTTTGGGTCGTTTAAATTTCCATGGTCAACGTAGGAGGTATGTTAACAAGTAACTTTAATTTCAAGTTATGCATGTGAGTGTAGAGCAGTAGTATATAAAAAACTAACTATGAAATACTATAGCAAAAATAAAAGAGAAGTTAATATTTGCAACAAATGGCACAGAAATTGGGGATCCCAAAAACAAAATACAGAATTTGGATCAGGGTGGAAAACAATAATTGCAGCCTACACTAGTTACCACCGAAGCAGTGGATTTGTTGAAATGGGGCAAAACAAGGATTTTGGAGGATAAATTCACGAAGCATGAAAAGGAGAAACTATAATCATATCATATGATCCTTTTTGCTTTCTGGAAGCTGGACCTCACCTCTATTAATCCCCTAATGTGGAGGGAAGGGTATAGCGTCCTTGTGTCTAACTTTTTTTAGAAAATGGAAGATTAAAGTTAGCATATTTTAGAAATGATTATCATTTTTATTTAATGTGTTCAAACTTGTTATCAGGTATAAAATTATTATTATTCAGACTTCAATTGAAATGTAACCGAGAAAAAATAGCCTTCAAAGAAAAGGGCAAAGCCAAAAATTCTTTATGTTCACATTTGCCAAATTTATATTTAATAGCCCCACCCACACCACTGCTCGATCTATTTTCATCTACCATTCATCACATTAATAGAGTTGTGGTCCATTTGGTACGTAATTTTGTGACAAACACAATGAAGATTTCGAATACCAATGGTGTGAGTGATCATTCATCTAACTAAATGACCCTAGTGAGAGATCATAAATCCATCATTTCTCTTCTTCTTCTTCTTCTTCAAAAAAAGAAGTAAACCCTTTTCATCTTTTCATTAAACTCTTTGTTGAAGTTATGGTAGCATTACACTTTGCTTTAAACATTTTTTAATGCAAGAAACGAAAATATATTTTCCAAGTAAAGACCAAATAAAGAAATAATATTAAATAGAAAATATCAATTTTAATTTAAAATATAATATAACCTCAACATTATTGTGTCCCTTGGTTTCATTGCCCCTAACTCAACATTATTGTGAAGAAACGCAATGGTAGGTCGACACCAGTCACACCATTACAAACAGTGACTTTTGTTCCAATAATTGAGCACAAGCTTTCACTTTCTTAACCTTTCCATTCACAATTGCTTTCCATATAAATTCATTTTATTTTTAATATTTTCATGTATTATAAATTGATATAAATATCAAGCAAAAAATAATAATTTTAACAAGAACAATAGACCTAAAACTTCATGGACTCATACAATTACAGCGTTGTGAATTCACCGTTTCAGAGTGCATTGGTTATAATGGAAGTCAAAACTTGGTGACCCCATCATATAGCTGTAAGCTGTGAAGCAAAGGACCCATATTGCTTTGCTTACCTTTTTTTGTATTTTAGTACAGATTTGGTTGTATTATTGTTCTGTGGTTGGAATTGGCAAGATCTTAGAAACTACATACTAAAAACCAGAAGCCAGATTCATTTTTATTTATTATATAAATCCTTTCTCTCTTCATCATATGTATAATCTTGTGACCTTTTCGTTTAATGTTCTTTGCTGTTTTATGCGTGTGCTTCTGTCTAAAATCACATTTTTATTTATTTATTTGAAGTATTGTCGAAGAAAATAAAGCTGGATCCTTTGGTAGGAGTGATTTACAGGGTGGGGCACCATTTGTGCTGCGATAATTTTTTAACAGGTTATGCTAAGCTTGATTGTTGCTATAGATCAAACAATAACTGCATTGTTAATATAATTCGACCCAGGGAGAGTTATATAAATATTTATCATGTTATCGAGTTTTGTGTAATTCCTTGTGGAGTCACACGTGCTCCTTGATTCCAAAGTTGACTTCTGATTAATAAAGGAAACATTTGGGAACTACAAGATACTGGGGACTGGCTAAATGCTAGTAAAATGTTGAACATAAACTGTTTGAACATTTATCTCATTCAATCTTCACTCTTCAGTTTATAGATGTAAAGGGACTTTTCCCATCTAAGCCTCAATTCTGGTTTAGGAGTTTTCATATTGTCTGCAAGATAATGAATTCTTTTCATATTTGGTTAATCCTACTTTATGACACGGAATACAATAAAAAATCAGGACTATTATTTCTTCTTAGGGACTTTATTTATATAGTGATTCTGATGCATTAAATCATTGAATTGATCATTGTAAAGTAGGAAGTAATGTTCAATCATGTGAGGGTTTAAGACCAATGTTTTCTTTCTTCAAAAGAAGGGACCAATTAATTAATGTGATTACGGTGGAGGATTATTAGGATTCCATGATGCTCACATGCTTCTGCATGCCGTTGCAGGCGCTTCAAAATACAAAGTGTCTATGTCAGCGATTTGCTTAACTTAGCAACAAAACAACTATAATCGTTAATAGATTCAGATGCAACAGAGAACAGACTGGCTGAAGATACTAATTACTAAGATCTTAGATGGCCCTAATTACAAATTTTAAACTAGAAATTTGGTTAATAGTTAAATCTGATCTCAACAAAGAATCTGCAGCTAGATGTTCCAAAGCAGAAAATAAAACAACTGCCAAAAAAGTTTCCCTCCAGATTACGATTTCTCTCTTGGGATTTGATTCTATTACTAACTGTCATCCTTGTACTGCCCGATTGTATTAGCTGGTCAAAGTGTCTGAGATATAATGTCACTAGCTAGCAGCAAGAAAGAAGCTTCTCAAATACAATAATAGGACATGGAAAAAGATATTTGTGTGAAAGAGTATGTGTATGGCAATGATTCATGTGTAAGTGGTGTGTAGTTGCAGTGCACCCTCTAAGGGTAGTTGAGGTGATATGATGGCAATGAGAGAGTCCCCAGGGGCCTGAGCACCATGTTTCCAAAAAGTTTCTGTCTGTTAAGGAGGCCTATGCAGTCTCTTCAATAAGGACAAGTGTTGTACTGCAATGGATGAATCAAGATTTGGGCCCTCTGGTGGGGGGATAAGATAAGACAATAGTGCTACAGTGATTACTCTAGCTCATAATGCAATTCCTTTTTCATTTTTCTTCCAGCGTGTGTGTGTCTGTGTGTGAAGCACTGAAGCTAGAGATGAGTGATCATAAATAATGGTCTGAATCTCAAGATTCTCTTGTCCTGTTTTCTGCTCGAGTTGAAGTGTGACCGAAAGTATAAACAAACTAGTCATTGTCCTCTTCTTTTCCAAGTCTAACATGATCAAATTTCGTACTAACACTTGGAAATCTGATTTATTTGTCTAAATTAATGAAACAATTGTGTTAGACAATTAGGTGAATAGACCTTGTGATATCAACCTAATCAATGAAACACGATTGTTAGATTCACATTCCTCGCCACCCTACTTTTTATTTTATTTTATTTTCGGCATAGTAGAGATATTTTGGTTCTAGCTATTGAAAGAAGCTTCTGTGTGTTTGTTTTGTTCTGGTCTATAATTGAGATGATTGGGTGGAAGATTTTGGAAGAAAGAAGACTTTGAAATTTTTAAATCTGAGAAAGTAAAATAAA